CAAAATGTTTATTTGCAACTTATACAGCTTCAAAATTGGCTTAATTGGGATCGAACATTCATATTAATATAACAACAGACCATTTTGCCTAGATCTTTAGCAATGGATCCTGAATAGTACGCTTGTCTTGTTGCTAGGTTCATCGCCATGTTAATTTCAATGCTTCAGCAATGAGAAATTCCAAACTAATTCTTTTATCCTGTTTTGAACAACAATAATGATAATATGGTCGTCTCTCAAATTAAACTAACCTTAAAATAACCCCAATCGGAAGTCGGCTGTTAGTAAGCAAGTCTCAGAAACTATTTCCAGTGAAGAAAGTTCAGCTCTCCAGGAAGATTTAAACCATTATGGCTTCTTCTGAGGCCAAGCTAAACTTATTTTCTGCTTAAAGCATCCGATGTGAAACAATATATATATCAGTCTCATCTCTCGACACCTGTAGAGAGTTATAACCTCACTGAGTGTCAAATTACGCTATGTGTCAAAAAAACTTAAGTTTGGTTATGAACTATTTTAAGTACCTGTTGTAGAATATTAGGTGTCAACCTTGTCTCTCTGGGTTTTTCTTCAGCTTTCCCTCTTACTAGACTAACCAAAGCTAAATATCTTCAAAGTTAAATATCTACAGATTTTTTTTATAAACAATCTCACCTTTCATCCGCTTTTTCTCAGTCTATTTCTATCATATGCAATCCTATATAACCAGTTTTGTCATCCATCTTCATCTTTGCTGCGCGATTCAATAACTAAATACCAGAGGATCGCGTCTAAAACGGAAAATATTCCACTTACACAGAATGTGCATCTTACGCACAATAGTGGCAGTCCGATCATAACCGCCATTGGCAAAATCGAATATGCGGCAGTCGGAAATCTATCAAAGGTTCATCTGAGGCATGAAATCAAATAGTCGATGCGTTTAAGCCTTCCATTCGGTCTACTCTGCCAACTCCGTCAGTTATTAAAGCAATTTTATGGATTCCGTTAGTCTTGAGGTTATAAGGCCAAAGAGATGTTTGTTTTGTTTTCGGCTGCTCGTTTTCCACGTCGATGTAAAGAAGAACCTGGGAAACTTCTTTGCACGAATCCGATAAAAGAATCAGGTGAAGTCATGAACTTCCAAAATCCCGGCAAATGTATAAATGCATTGAAAATGAAGTTTTCATTAAAGTCGGTCTATATCGATCGATGAACCAGCGCTGTACAAACTCACCCGGGAAAATAACCAGTCATTTAATATTAACGAAAAATGGCATTATGCCTAGGAAAATGATCGTCTGAGTTCTCTTCAAGTTTCTCTCCTTCGGACTTAACACATTTTTCCAGCATCATTTTTCACTTAACGGTATCACCATCAGCTGCCTCGACGCGCTCTCCTTAATTTTACCCACGTCGCTTCAACGACAATTTTAGCTCGGAAGAAAAGCCGGGGGTTGTTGCAAGACAGTTTTAGGAGAGTTAAAGAGGACTGAAATACAGGGGATAAAGCGATACTTTGCACATACCCACCTACGCAAGATATGAATAATGGACAAGCACATTCTCACGATGAATGCGATGGTCACACTGCAGAAGATAACTTAATGGCGTCTCACCGTTGGCTAAATAATTTCAGAGTGTTTGTTCACGCAAGCGCAGTAAGGTCGCCTATGATAGGTTGTCGATCATTATAAAATCAAAACCGCGCAACCAGTTCCAAAGATTAACATACTCGGAATATCAAACTACCATTTAATCTTATGCCTGATTAAGTTTAGCTAAGTTACTATTTAGGATGTCTAGCATAGGGTGACGGCAAGCGTGGTCATTTCGCAGTCTCCTATTTCATAATAAATTAGATCCTCACTGGGTGCCATATATAGAGTTGGAATGAAAAAACATTGTGACAACAATTACAACAAATTTAGTACAGGAAATAAGGAAATTCAACATAGAATACGCTGCGCTAGGTGTCATATATATATATATATATATATATATATATATATATATATATATATATATATATATATATATGTGTATGTATATAAATATATATATGCAATTTTCATATATATTATTTTTATATTATATATACGCGGTACTTATTGGAAAGCGCTCAATATCAGTGATAGAGCTAACATATTTAGTTGGATTGGTGTGAGTTTGTGACCCTGGGTTTCACGCTATTTACGATCGTCAGACAAACTGTGTGTTTATGTGGTGTGTGTGTCTGTGTGTATGTGTGTATGTCTGTGTATGTGTGTATGTCTGTGTATGTGTGTGTGTCTGTGTCTGCGTGTATGTGTGTACACTATAGTTCGAGTGTTTGAAGCCACTCTTCTGTCAAGTTTATCCCACACTAATTCTTCAAACTTTTGAAGTATAGCACACACACTTACATACACACACACGCACGCACACACGCACGCACGCACACACACACACACATATATATATATATATATATATATTAGTCGTCAAAATATATATATATATATATATATATATATATATA